AGTAGTTTTAGAGGAAAAGAATCACCAATGCCTTTGTCATGAAAAGTAGTTTTTCAGATATGCAACACAGTAAATTTATACAATTAGTATAACTGGTCCAGGTACGAATCTCCTAATAATCTCGTAATAAAATGCTAGCTCATAGGCTGAAACATGTGTCACTCTGAAATGACTGCAATACAACGTGCTAAGAACTGTCAGCAGAGCAAACCAGACTGACAAGGCCCCACCGTGCTCCAGTTACTTCCACTGGCAAGGCCAGTCCGCTCCTCAGCCCCTGAGGAAGCCGTTCAAATGCTAACTCTTCCTCCAGAACGACCTCAGACGGATACTGAGAAAGAGCCAGACCAATCCCCCTGCAGCACGTTTCTTGCATTTTCTCTAGTCCTTAGAAACGAGACAACCCCCCCACTATCGTCTGCTTCGGTCTTAGTGACTGTTTTCGGCCAATTGGGGATTATTTAATGAAACCAAGAAGTGCGCTACCCAGGTCTCACCTAACACTATTACGTGACACTCAGCATCAAAAACAGAAAGTATACAGAAGTAGATGCTGACGAGAAACATTATAAAGCGAGTTCTAACAACAATCTGCCAAACACCATCTCGATTCTTCTCTCTGTTGTTCACTGCTTACCCAGTTTTATTAAGAACTCTCGCTCCAAGGCGTGTACCTGCCTGATGGATTCTTCCAGAGAATTACACAGTTTGATCTTCGGTCTTAGCAGTTCTAGGCTGTCACTGATCGTGTAATCTATGTCAACAGGAAATGGATGATCTTTCGTCCAAACCTCCAAACTTTTCTTCCACCAAACATAACGCTGAGAATAAATGAAAAATAAATTTAGCTACAAGAAATTCGTAACAGAATACTTTAAAATAACAGTCTGTATTGGGACATCACCTACTTATACGTGATAAGGAAGCTAGAGTTGTACAAGACACCGACCACTTTTATTAGTGGTCAACAGCAATGATCCTAGGCCACTTATTCCCCTCCATCCATGCAGTTTCTAAGCCATTTGGTGACTTTAAATATACTTTTTATTATAATGGTCATAATCTTTTTACAAAGGCAAGGAAAAACTATAAATAAATAAATACCAAACAAATTTTTAGGTTCTGAAAACAGAAACTCTACTCCCAAATAGGGTTTAAATATTTAACAACAGCAACAAAAAAACCTAATTCAAGGCCATGGTTTTGATAAATTTTAATTACTTTCTCTATACTACCTGCTTTGATTTTTTTTAAAGGGTCAATTAAAGTATCTGAAGACAGGTTCCTGAATACATAAAAATCAGTAATCAACAAGCATTTATTAAACATCTACTGTGTATATGGCACTGTTTAGATACTCTCCTCCTCTTCTCCGGGCCTGGTTCCTTCGATCTATTTCACAAGTTTACCTTAACTAAAAAAGCACAACCCAAGAATTTACTTGCATATAACCAAGTGTTGCTCTGGGTGTTTAATCGTCCTCTCCAGTTTCTTCTAGGTCCTTGCTACTCAAAGTAAGGGAACTGGGAGCTTGTTAGACATACAGAATCTTAGGCCCCCACCCTAGACCATAGTCTGCATTTTACAATATACCCAGGCAATGTGCATGCACACTGAAGTTTAGAAGCACCACTGCAGGTGAATCTTTCTATCTGCTTCTGATACTTAACTGGACACTCTCTGTTACAGGCACAACACACTGACCACATCTCCCAGACCTCACTCACTTCTCACTCCCATGCCCTTGGTACATCCCTGTTACACATTCCTGCCTATTAGTCAGTGTGGAAAATACTTTTGTCTCCTCTGCTTCTGCGTATTTCTGAGTGGCTCTTTACTCAGCCTGAGGGATCTGCAAAAATGTCATAGGAAGTGCAAATAAGAATACTTTCCTGAAAGGGATTCTGCTTTGGATGCTGATAGTTACAGCTGACATTTGGCAGCAAAATTGTAGTTTTCAATACAGGCAGAGTCGAGCTTAAGGCTGTCCTTACATGCAACAGGGATCAAATCTGGAAAACCCCTCCCCATTTTTGGCTCATCAATTCAGAAAATAGGGAGTAACAAGCAGTCCTCTAATGCAAAAGTACAGTAGTAAGAAAAAGTTAACAAACAGCTCTTCGCCAAGTAATTACCCCTACTTAGCAACAGCTAGTACGTGGATATATATTTGATACCTGGTTACAGTTTTAAATTTATTTTCTTCAACAATGGATAAATGAAAACAATACTAACAATAGATTATGTAGAAAGGAATGATCAAAAAGAATTGCATGCTACCAGTGGTACTGTATTTCAGTAACATCTGGAGAATTCAACAGTAAGATGGTTCCCCTAATTAGTACATATAATATTGCATTTTATGGGAAATAGTGATTCGGTTTCAAACAACCAACCCACAAGCTAACATTTGGAACTCCAACTGTTGCAGAAATGTCTCTATATTTGTATCTGAATTTAATTTATACTGCACTTGCCCTAAATCACAAGTTTACATGAGCAACCTAAATTAAGATAGGAAACACAGAATCCAAGAATTTAGCAATGAATGAACAAATAATTCTTTCAGCAATAAAAATAACATTTTCCCCAAAATCATGGAGGTTTTTACTTAAAAAAAAAAATCATTTAGAAACAACAACTTTAGATGTAAAACCAGAACACAGATGAGTGAGAAGAATGTTATCAAATGGATAAATATTACAAGTAATTAAATTCATAATAATACTGTACCAAATACCAAATAATCTATACTATACCAAAATAATTCTCAAAATTAATGATCAATAATTACCATTCATAACAGTTAAAACATTATCACAATCTTTATATGATAGAATTCATCATATATTTTTAAAATCTCTAAAGCATTCTTGCAGGAACAGTTAATCTAACTATGAATATATCTTATGCATGATATATAAATGCTTCAGCATTTCTTCTCTAGTATTTCTGTAACACAAGCAATGCATTCAATGATGCCCCACTGCATACTTCAATTTATATACCTGAAAATACACAAGGAAGCAATCGAGTTTTCTTTTACTGGAACCTCTGTCGAAGTACTGGCCGCAGGTATCCAAAACAGTGCACACTAGTCTAATCCTGAAAAGGTGCTCGGGAGGGTCCAGGGAACTTGGGCTCCCGTCAGAGTTAACACCAAACGAAGTAAAAGAATAAAGCGTTCTAAAAATCACAGCCGATTCCACCATTCGGTAATTATACAGCTCTCCTAAGAATTTGGCACTGCTGATACGTCTCTGATTAAATTTAGGTTGGTTAACCTAAAGGCGGAAGAGAAACAGACAGACACACAAACAGCAGGTTTCCATTAAAGAACAGTACTGTGTTTGAGAAAAGGCAAAGTGCCCTCTGTCACTCCACAATCTCACTCACTGAACAGAGCGAGAAGCCTGGGGTCTTCCCTTCTTTCCTAACACGGTGGTTGCTTTGGGGTGTCCTTTTTCTCTCCAGAAAATGGCTATCTTTAAAATGTTTTAATAAAAAGGACATGTTAAATACTAAATTTAGCATTCAGTCGTCATTAAACGAATGAATAGTTTATAAACAGTTGAAAAGTAACCCTCCCCATCAGCCCTCCATAACACGTTTTCTCCATCATCCATGAATTACGGAGCAGTGAGCCCACAGAGAGGGAGCTGTGTACAGAAATCCTTGGCAAACGATTGTCAGCCAGCCTAATGACAGCCTGAGAGGCTAGAAAAATCTGACAAAACAGGGCTTATCAAGAAACCACCGTCTCCAAATACGGAACGGTAAATAACACCACATGGGGAAGGAAGGTTTCCGAATTCTTATTTTTCAGTAACCGGATTTAGAAGTTGTTCAAATTCTCCACAAACTCCAATTTGGTAACTTTAAAGAAAGTCTCTGTTACCTCCATTCCCAATCGGATGTCTTCTAAAACTCCATCTACGACATGGATTCCAACATCCTCCTGGTAGAGCACGAGCCCTGCTAGGAGGTTGGCCACACAATGAATGCTGTTGTATTCACGTTCCAGATGTTTATCATGCAGCAAATGACATAGTCTTTTACTTCTTGGTCCTGCCAGGGCAACTTTCGCATCTGTCTCAAAACCTAAACAAGGAGAACTGTGTTTAAATTACTAAGGTAAACACACAGGAGTTTATCTTACACATACCCAACAATACAGATACTTTATGATGACTGTGCAGTCACAGAATTTATGAAATGTTTTCTCTAACTGCATTTTAGAGACTCCCTATCAGCCTCTTCATTTTTAGAGACAGGGAAAATGAGATTTTTCTAATTATTGGCAAAATGTATTCACATATCCCCTGTATCTTTCTGTAATGCCCTCAAATTTCCTAGAGTTTCCATGTCTTCAATCAAGCCAATGGTATACACTCACATACTCAGGTCACTGTACGAAATACTCACGGTTTAACAAAAATGTTTTCTTTTGTGCGTGATTTGATGTAAATAATCTCAGACACTTCTTTTTATAGATGAAAAATTTCCAATAAACGAAAATAAACCCAAGGTAAACTGGGTAAAAGGTCACTTAAGATGGAGGACACGACATCAAGACTGACATCACACAATGTCCCTTTTCCTCATACGTAAAAGGGGGATGACAGGCCCCTACCTCACGGTCTGTTGCAAGGATCACAATGTAGAGTGTGTCAAGCGCACAGGGGAGTGTCACAGTACACGCACCCCAGTAAAGTCAGCTACTGCTACTTCAAAAATGCTACTGGTAATGAGATGATCAGCAGAGCCTACTTGTCAAGTTCTAATCCATCTGTATCCTGAAAGCAAATGGGTACCACAGCGGACTACAGAGTAGTCCTCTCACCTCTACTCTATGCCCACAATCCATCTTTCAAGCACTAAATAGATCAGCTTCACTGGAAATGTTAACGTCATGTCAACTGCATAAGCATGCCATACTTTTCAAACTTCCAGCCAATTCTGAAATAGCTTTCCAAATCCTGCTGTTTTAAATGACTACTATCTCTGGCGCTCTACAGTTGGCTTCAGTTTTCAAAGTTGCACTATCATGCCTCATCACCTTCCACTCCATCTACGTATAATACATGTATGATTCCATGCCTTTATCCTCCCCACAGGTTTTAGCTGTCCAAAAGTTAATTGTCTTTATTTTTTTTCCTGAAAAATGTTCCATACCATATTATTTTAACTAGCAGGGTTAACCAAGAAATGTTTTGTTTGACACATCTTACTTAAAAAATGAAGGTTCCAACAACATAACTACAATAATTAAGGTAATATGTCAGTGGTTCTTAACCTTTTCTGGAAACTGACCCCTGCTGAGAATCTAAAGAAAGCTACAGACCTTCGTCCAGAAAACTACACACGCCCAAAGGTTCAAAATTATTAAGTTTCAGAAGGTTACAGGCCTCCTGAAACCCACTTAAGGTTCAGAACCCTTGAACTGAAGCAATATATTTGAAGGCAAATTGATAGGATATCAGAGACAACGTAACAGTTTCAAACATACACAGCATCAACGTTAGATTTAGAAGCATCATTTTTATCAGAATAAGAAGTTATTATCATGAAAGGAAAACAAGACGTATGTTCCGTTTATTAAGCACCAGCATATGACTCTCTTCTTGGAATGACCTGTACACGATCAGTCACAGTGGAGCCTGGGACCTAACCCCGCCTCTCCGAAATTCCACTCCCGGGGCTTTAACAGCTCTGCCTCAATTTCTCCATTTACAAAAGGTGAACAATGTGAGCTGAGTGTATTTCTTACCCTGTGGGGCACGGAAGCAACTCATAAACAGGCTGATGTAGGAAAACTGAAATGTATGTCCCTGGCCTAAAACACTCTGGGGCAGGACTAGAAGGAAAGGGCACTGCTCTCTGTGCTGTTACCATGAGGCTGGAACGGAGCGGACTTGGCTGAAGGTTATGCAAGCTTAGCACCACCACCAATCTCAAGCTGACTGGTGTTCTGTGACTTCATCAGGACTTACCTTCTCGGTGGTAACCTTGGAGAGATCCTTGTACAGAAGTTTCCGGACATATTCCTGGAGAGGAGGACGCTTCTTTTTCACTGTTTTTTCAGCTGGGGGTGGGTTGCAGTAGTAATAGGCGTTCTCGACCATTGTGACGTACCTCGCATCGAGGTGCATGGCTTGTTTCTTTCTCATCATTTGTTCCTAAAATATAAAGTCTAAATTAGTCAAAATACTTTCATCCGAAGGTTTCTTTATTCCTACTTAAACTTCCATTCTCAGTGATAAGATTTCAGGATAAAGGGCTAGAAAAGGGAAAAAACAGTCACGAGGTATTTCCAAGAGTGAGCCAGCAGACTAACTATGATACCATTAATCATGTTTTTAGAAAAACTTTTAGTCCATGACTGCCTGGTCTTAGGCCTTGTCCAATAAAATACTCAGAGAACTTTGCTAAAAATGTAACTTTATGCAAAATTATGACTCTACCAAATACATGAACTCCAAGTAAAACAAGGCTGGTATATGAGTGACTGAAATTAAGGACTGAGAATACAAACGAAGGGGTGAACGCCTCTGGCTGTTCCACATACATCAGCTGAGAATAAATTCATCCTCAGAGCCCGTGCCATCCAGTGTCGCTCCAGGTAAACCCAGGGCATCTCTACAGAACACCCAAGCCCTCAGCATCAGCTTACAGGAGGTGGTTAAAAGCACGTGTCAACTCAGTCATCACCCACTTCAGGTTTCCCAGCCTCAGCACCACTGACATTTTGGACCGGAAAATCCTTTGGGTGGGGAGGGCAGCAGCGGGCGCGGGGGAGCCACTACAGGAACGAATGAAGGCCAGGCAGGTGCCACTGGAAAGGTGCAAGATCAGCGCTAAGGGGCGGGGAGCGCGAGCTGACAACAGACTCTGCAGACCGTGGGACAAACGCTGGGTTTTAAGCATGAACAGGGAAACCACTGACGAGTTTCAGGTGGGTGCCTGACTGGGGCGGCGGGCGCCTGACTGGGGCGGCGGGCGGAGACACGACTCCCCGTCTTGTAAACACGGCTGGGTATGTAAGCCCAGCCAGGCCAAGGGCTGCAGCATTTTCACTGCTGTAAACCCAGCACCTAAGATAGTACCTGGCCTAGCACATGGGAGGCTTCCAATTATTTATACATGAATTTGTGAATAAACGGTGACGCTTTCAAAAAGAGAGAACAGCTCCATATTGAACAGGGCTGGAGAAAATGCCCACGTTGTGTAAGCTCTTTGAACAAAACATAATGCGTTACTTATCACCAGTACACACGTAATGCAGCTTTAAGTCAACATTAGTTTCAACCTGTTATTTGGACTATTTTAGAATCATTTCCCCCAACAAACACACCAACTAATTTTAGCATTAGCTTAGAATAATTTTAAATGCAATTCAGTTAGAAGGTTACATGTGTTCCCAAACAAATAGGGACATATTTTAGATTATCCTATAAGCATCCACGTGTGTCAAACCAAACTCATCACCTCTTTCCTCCGCCTATTCCCTCATCTCTGGCATCTGCTCAGATGTCCACGTCAGAATCTTGGGTTTTACTTGAGGGCACTTTCTCTTCCTCATCCCTTCTATCTCACCACCAAGTCTCATCAGTTCTATTTCCTAAAATTCTTCCTACAGCCAGTTATCATTCCCCATTCCTCTCACCCTTACCTTTTCTTCACTGCTTTCCCCCTAGGTTTTGAAAACAGCCTTTTCCATCTGGCCTCAGCCACCTCAAGTATCTCCTCCACACTGATCTTTCTAAAAACATGAATCTAATTATACCTATTTGCTTAAAATCCTTCAACATACTCATTGCTTATCAGGGGAAAACCCTAGTTTCTTAGCATGGCGCTCAGGGCTCCTCACGTGTAATCTAGTGTGTGCCTGCCTCTCTAGTCTTATCCATGGCCACTCGAGTCAATGTGTCTCTCTTCTCTGCCTTTAAGACTCAGGCTAGTCTATAAAACAAACACCATTTTCCCCAGGAAACCCTTCCTGACACACCAAGACTGAATTAAGCATCTCCTCTACACATTACACCCGATGCTCACCCCCACTGCTCTGCTGCGTGTCCTCCCCATGTATTCCAATAGTCTATTTACTCATCTGTCTGGGTTATTGAACTGTAAGCTCCATGAGGGCAGGGATATTTTTTTCACGTTTATATCTGAAGGGTCTGACAGAAGGGTCTGCGCTCAGTGAATACTGTGAAGCTGTTAGGGAAGAGCTTTCCTGACTCATTCCGTCTGGTTTAAGTACTCCCTCCCGAGCCCATCACAGCCTCTACAAACCTCTGTTTAAGCACTTACAACACTGCATTAGAATTAGCATTCAATACGGACCACTTTGAGGATGCAGCTGTGTTTCATTTCTCTGTACTGTCCCTCCCAAAC